ATAATAATTATTATTATTATTATTATTATTATTATTATTACTATTTTAAAGGTGGCAAAATCCCTAAATGAAAACACAAATACTTTCACAACAATATGATCTATTCTGATACCTTTCTGGGAAGCGTCATACTATACATACTGTTCAAATACATAAATATTGTATATACTGGGCTGTATATAATCGAAAGGTACAGAATTTGAATTCCTCAGAATTTTATTAAGTGTCTGTGCAAGACAGGACTTTCCATGTGCTGTGAATTCAGTACCCCTGCTTCAGAGAGGAAACAAGTGTTAGCTAGCAGCATCACTCACATTGAGACAGTTGTGTGCTCAGTTTTGTGTACCTTACTGTTGTTGGTAAATAATTTGTTTTTTATTTCCCTGCTGTCCCACTGTTAGTCCTGTTTGAAATAGTTAGTGTAATTTTATATTACAATTTTCATGTGTTAATAACAAATCACAATGTGATTAGCTATTTGTTAGCTAAATGTGCTTTGTTTTTGGAGAACAGTAACATTTTGTATTACTGTGTTCTTTTGCTTTCTGTCTATACTATGGCTGCCAGCGCTGAATGTTTCTTTATGCAGGCCTAATCCCAAAGAAGAATAGCTATAATGGAACCTTTGATTTAATTTTGCTTTAACAAATGAATTATGAGTGCAATCGCAGTCCAGGAAATGGTGCCTGACTTGAGAGCTGTTTTTATTGGTCCCAAAGAGGACAATTTTGCTGCTTTGCTCTTGAACATGGGAAACATGTTTAATTCATTCCTCTTCCCAGACAATCCATTAAGACTTTCCTGTAGGTGTTGTTTCAAAGCCGGCAAAATGTCTGTGCATTCCTTTTTCTTTAAGCTGAATAAATTGCTTTTCTACTGGGTGCTGCAGCCCAGGTACATTGTATGATATTGCTGGCTGACTTGTTCTGCTTTTTGCCAATGACAGCTTTTCTTCATGGTTCTCAGTTCTCAACTAGGCATTAGAGCAGCTCTTAGCTCCTTGGAAAGCACACTCAGTAATACCTGTGGGCAGGAGAAACCTTGACCAAAACCATGGATCCCCTCCGAACATCCTTTCAGCATGTCTAAAAAAGCGCAAGTCCGGGTTTTTTTATTCCAGCCACAGCGAAGCACACAGCTTAGTCTCAGAGTCCTGGGAAGATTCTTATGTTCTTTCAGAGCGTGAATTGTAAAAGATGTGAATTATAAGGTAATTAGTTATATTCCATATACTGTATAGTAATTACAAACAACTCTTACAAGGGAAGAGCGATGATTTGTTTATACCCCTTGAATAATTTTAAGTTTGATTCTTGAATTCTTCAAAAAGCGTTGGCTCTGTAGCTAAGGATCTGTGCCTGTGGCTGGAAGGTTGCCAGTTCAAATCCCACAGCTGGCAGAGGAATCCTACTCCGTTGGGCCCCTGAGCAAGGCCCTTAACCCCAACTGCTCCAGGGGCGCTGTACAATGGCTGACCCTGCGCTCTGACCCCCAGCTTCTCTCCCTGTCTGTGTGTCTCATGGAGAGCATTTTCGTCATTCCTGAAATTTCAGGTTGAAAGGAAGAAGTATTTCAGAGCCAACCATAAAATTGATTGTGCTGTTTGCCATAATTATCTGATTTACTTTTCAGCATTTCAAGATGGAGTTGTTAATGTGAGAAGTAATTCATATTGGCATACAGTGGAGAGACTAATCATTCTTGTGCTGTTAAGTTAGGCGGAACCATGTATAAATGCATGTCCAGTGACTGCAGTAGCTGCACTGATCTTGTAGTTTTTCAGCCCTTTTAGAACTGGTACATAAGGCTTGTGAAGTGAATGGGTGGAGTACAGCTGCAGGGCTAGAGTATGGAGCCGACGTACTTCATCACTTTTCTGTACAATTCTGAAAAGAAGTGCTCATTAAGACCTGGATTAAATGCTCCACTTAAAACGTTTTGGTTGTCTTGTCAATAGGCAATTGTCAAGTCTAGCTGATGGTATTCTGGGCCTTTAGTATCAGGTAGCTCTCTGCCCGGTTAGCCATGATGGTCACACAAAAGAGCTGGCAAGCATTTGCTCGGGGCACTGAGCCCTGGCCCAGGCTCAAGAGGTACATTAGCGGATTTATCTCAAGCTACTCACTTAACCTGGCTCTCTGAATCTCAGCACCCTGCTCAGCACAAAGACAGTCTGTTTCACAAGGAAGAAAGCTCAGCTCTGAGGAGAGAGTCCCCTTGGGTTTAATTCTTTTCCAATGACTTTATCTCTCTCACTTGTTATATACCTGGTGAATATATAGATCTCTTGAAAGATGCTGGACACATGACACTAGAAGCTACATCCTTTCAGAGCACAAAGAAGGGAGTCACAAAGAGAAGACCAGCTTTATGGTCAAGTACAATTGGCTCTCTGTGGTGGTATTGTACATTAGTTGTGCTCCGGAGCTGCTTGATGGGGTGTGCTGTAACAATTAGGCAACAAATTGACATCGAGTTACTTCATTTTTCCTGCAAGACACTGAGATTAAAGTGAATGATACTTTAAATTTCCCTAATGCAAAGGTTTGTGAGCAGTAGTGATTTTGTTATCTATTTATCTTTAATTGGGGGGGAATAATGAGATCACCTGTAAAACTGATTGAAATAAAGTAGAGAAATGAAAGATAAACCTGGTCCATTGGCTTATGCTAAAATATAATATCCATTAGGAAATGAATTAACTAACAACATGATTTACTTTTATTTTACCTAAATTAATCCTATAAGACCAATTATCCTTACAATTGACAATATATTCTTTTCTCAGTTATAAGGCTGCAGAGATCATTTATATCAAACAATCCAGTGTCTGACTGGCTGTGCTACTTCCCCATGAGCAGCCTGAAACACTAGCATGGTGATCAGTTATTGCACAATAGAAAATCCTTCATGCTGCAGACCCACTGACTACTGTTTATTGGCATGAAGACTAGGAAGTATGCGTTAAGTGATTGCAGTGTTGATGTTTTAAATTTGATTTGAGTGTTTTTCTGTTGTCTTCTTCTTTCACTGTATGCTCCTATGTCAATATGGGCTTTGACATACAGCACAGTGTTTATGACAGATGACTCTTAAAATCTAAACCAGAATGGATAAAGAGACCAAGAGAAGAAGGCCAAGGAGCTGCAATAGCTGTGTATTGTCATAGTTATACCTACTGCACTGGGAATGATGTCTCCTGTCTTTGTCTGCAGATTAAAAATTAACTAGAGTACATAGCCTTCCTGTTGCTGGCTTGAGCTTGAGAACCGAATTCCATCAAAGTTAAGT